TATATCTCCTTTTGTCTATTTCCCCTTTATTAGTATGGAATGTCCTTCTTTATCTCTTTGATCAATGTAGGTTTAGTCTACTTGCTCAGAGATAAGTATTGCTACTCCTGCCTTGTGTTTTCGGGGGCCATTGGCTTGTAATCTTCTTCCAGCCTTTCATCCTAAGCTCTATCATTTCTTCTGAGATGGTCTCCTGTAAGCAAACAAATTGTTGGATCTTCCTTTTTAATCCATTTTGTCAACGTGCCTTAAGTATTGCTACTCCTGCCTGTTTTTCAGGGCCATTGGCTTGGTAAATCTTCTTCCAGCCTTTCATCCTAAGCCTATGCTTATTTTCTGTTGTGAGATGGTCTCCTGTAAGCAACAAATTGTTGGATCTTCCTTTTTTAATCCATTTTGTCAAATCGGTGCTTTTGATGGTGAATTAAGTCCGTTACCATTAGTGTTAGTACTATAGGTAATGTGGTGATTCTGCCATTTGTGTCTTAGTTGTTTGAAGGTTTGATGTGTTATACTAAGTTGAGGTTACTCTCTACTTTCTTGCTTTTTCTTTTTCCTGTGGTTTGGTGCTGCCCTGACCTTTCATGGTTAAGTTTGGGTTTCACTTTCTGTGTGCAGAGATCCTTGAAGAACTATTTGTAGTGGTGGCTTTGTGGGTCAATATGTTTTAGTTTCTGTTATCATGGAAGACTTTTATTGCTCCATCTATTTTGAAATGATAGTTTGCTGGGTAAGCATCCTGGGGTTGAAGTTTATTTTCATTCAGTGCGGAAATCTCACCCCTGCTTTCTTGCTTTTAATGTTTCTGTTGAGAAGTCTGCTGTGATTTTGATGGGTTTCCTTTGTATGTTATTTTGTTCTTTTTCTCTCTACAGCCTTCAATATTCCTTTCCCTAGTTTCTGAAAATTTGTTGTCTTTTATGATGATATGTTCGTGGAGTAGTTCTATTTTGATCTGGTCGTTTGGTGTCCTGGAGGCCCCCCGGAAGATCTCACCCCACGCTCTTCTTGCTTTTAATGTTTCTGTTGAGAAGTCTGCTGTGATTTTGATGGGTTTACCTTTGTATGTTACTTGTTTTTCTCTCTTACAGCCTTCAATATTCTTTCCCTAGTTTCTGAATTGTTGTTTTTTATGATGATATGTCGTGGAGTAGTTCTATTTTGATCTGGTCTGTTTGGTGTCCTGGAGGCCTCTTGCATCTGTATGGGAATATCTTTCTCTAGATTTGGGAAATTTTCGTTATTATTTGTTGAATATATTACGCATCCCTTCGCTTGCACCTCTTCTCTTTCTCGATCCCAATGATTCTTTCAAGTTATGGTCTTTTGATGATGTCAGGAGTTCTTGCATTTTCTTCCACAGGTTCTTGAGTTGTTTTAATTAATAGTTCTTCGGTTTTTCCTTTAATTACCTTTCATTTCTTTCAGGTTCTGAGATTCTGTCTTCTGTATTGTTTCTGTTCTTCTGGATTGGCCTCCGTTTTGTTTGCAGTTCTGTTTTGTTTCTTTTTTCTTTGAGGTTTTCCATATCTGGCTGTTTTTCCTTCTTTAATGTTGTCTATTTTTGTCCTGAGTTCATTTTATCCGTTTATTCATGTGTTCTCTGTTTCACTTTGGGTTTATACAGTACTTCTATGGTTCCTTTATTTCTTCTTTTCTTTTTTCAAATTCTCTATTTTTGTTGTCTTGGAATTTCTTGAGTTGTCTCCTGTACATTTTGGTTGACCCTATCCTAGTATCATCTCTGTAAAATTCTCATTGAGTACTTAGTAGTCTTCTTTTAATTATTCTTCTTGGGCTTCATTGGGTCTTTTTGGCATAGTTATCTTCTTTGTTGGAGTCTAGATCTGAGTATTCTGTTTCTTCATTCCCCTCTGGTTCCTGTACTAATTTGTTGCTGTGGGGAAACTGGTTTCCCTGTTTTTTCTGTCTTCCGTCATTGTCTTTTGGTGTTGTTACTGTCCCTGTACTGTGTGCAATTAAGTATTTTCTAGCTTGTAATAATAACAATGGTAATTTTAGAATGAAGGGTGAGCTGAGATGGAAAGCAAGAAGTTAAAGAAAGGGGAAACAAATACACAGACAAAAGAAGGAAAAAGAACAAGGTTTCAGGTAAGAAAGTTTCAAAGGTATAAACAGGGAGCTTTAGTGTACTAATTGACAGTAAGCTGAACAGACATTAGAGAGACAGAGGATTGAAAATCAAAGATTTAAAAAAAAAATAAATGAAAGAAATATCTATATATAAAAATGAATTAAAATAAAATGGAAAATAGAAAATTAAAAAAAAAAAAACCAAAAACCTCCAAGTTTAAATGCAATGCAGTTTCAGTCTTAATAATTTGGGTGTCCGTCTCAGTCTCCAATCCTGGAGATGGTGCCTCAGATGTTGTTCTGTAGTTGTCTCATGAAAGGGGACGCATAAGGTATAACAAAACTACACACACACACAGACACACACACACACACACACACACACACACACACACACAAAATGCCCCACCAAGTGTCCCAAGTTCAAATGCAATACAGTTTCAGTAAGTTTTTCGGCTTGCAGGTGTAATTCGGTTGTTCTCTCATCAAAGGTAGGGAGAAAAAGAAAAAAAAAAAAAGAGTCTGGAGAAAGTTCTGAGAATGGTATCTGCAGCTGTGGCTTGCCTGCCCGCTGCTGTCAGCCTGCTGTTGCTGGAGGTGTTATTTATACAGATCTCTGGGGTGAGCTTAGCACTCACCTGGTCCCACAGGCTTTGTTTGTTCAGAGTTCTCCTGTGCGGGAGCCTCTGCTACAAGCTTTCCCCTTTCCAAGCACTGGGAAAGGTGACACTGCACCAGCGTTGTCAGGCCTGCGTGTTTATTTACAGTTCACGTGGGAAGTGGGTCTTCCCTCCTCTCCTGTGGAGTTTTCCTCCCTCCTCCACTCTCACAAGCTTCCCTGTTCCTGGTTGCTGGGCACGTGCCCCTGCTCCTGCCAGAGGCTCTCCGACCCGCCCGGCATGTTTATTTACAGTCCTGGGAAGAATTCCCTTTCCCCAATCTTCAGGGCTCAGGGCACCCCACCCTCTTTCCAGCATGTCTTAATTGTTCTTATTGCTTATTACTCAGTTTCTCTTTTTCCCCCGGGTGGAGGTCAGTCTGTCCAGGGGGCTATGCTGCTCTGGCCCAGGCTTGTCTGTGGGAGAACCGCGGTACTGCGAAGCTCACCTGGTCCAGGTCTTCCCAAGCTGTCTGGGCGCCAGCCACTGGCGGCCCAGGGGCCCTCCTCGTTTCTCCGTTTAACGCGAGGTGGAGATTCTCTGCACCGGCTGGAGATGTGGAGGGGTCAAAGTTATGCCTCTTCTTGGTGATTATGCCTGCAAAGTGTGTCTCCAGCGTCTCTCCAAGATTTCACTATAGGAGGCTCGCTTTCTGCTTCCTCCCTTTAGCCACCATCTTGGAATTTCCGCACTGATCTTTTCTTCTGGCATATCTAATCTGCTGTTACTCCAACTTAGGAAAGAGTGCTTTCCTAAGTACTAAGTTCCATTTGAGTCATTTCTGGTCTGTTTCTGTTGGCTTTTCTCCTTGTTTGGGTCATATTTTCCTTTTTCTTTGGTAAGTTTTGATAGGACAGAGGACAAGAATTTTATGTACTAGATATTGAGTTTTTTTTTTTTATGCCTTTAAATAATGTTGGACTTTGTTTTGACATGTAATTAAGTTACTAAGTTACTTGGATGGAATGTAAACCAATAACATTTCTGCCCAGTGTGAATATCATCTTGATTAAGTTAAGTGGATCCTAAGAAAGTGTGAAATGTATAACTTCACCATCATGTAGTGACTATCCTAGAATTCACGTTAATTATGCATCATAAGTATAGTGGTACCACGTGACAATTTTCCTAACTTGTTCTTGGTGATGTGTAATGAATAAGGAAGGATGAAATCCTTATTTCTCTTATTTGTTGTTTATGACATATATTCATTTCAGTGTAAGTCTTTGGGGCATGGGGATTTATATCATGGTATAAAACTGTACTGGATATAGATTGAAGTTACGTTTATAAAAGTTGAAGAATATTTTAGAAGGGATATTCAGAATGAGCTGGACTAGGGCGATACACCTTTGGAAAGGACCTCGTGATTGATTTCTTCTACGTTCGCTGCTTTGGAATTACATTGGCTGTAAGTTTATTTTGCTAGTTTTGCAAAAAATAGAACTTTATCAGTATTATTTGAGAAATTGGCCGTAGCAAGAGAATTGCCAGGCATTGTTTACAGAGAATAAGTTAGCAAGGCGAAGAGAAACGGATTCTCTTATCTTCTTTTATAGCATCCTTCTCTTCCATACCCCCACCTGAGCTCTGCTTTGTGCATTTCTTCCCCCTTTAAAATGTGTTAAACTACACTTAACGTAAAGGTTACTATCCTAGCCATTTTTTATGCACTTCAGTGATGTTAGGTAAATGTGTGAAGTCATCTGGACTATAGTTCTTATTAGGGAACATTGAAAAACTGACCCGTCATACTGTGACAGTGCTTTTGCACTTTGCTGCATGGACTATAATGAAGTGCTCCTGTATGGCCTTCTATTTGGGCTTTGCCTTCAAAAAGAGGTGTGAGCAAGGCTCTGGAGTCCTGGGCAGGTCTGAACTTGCCCACTCATCAATTAAGCCTGTCAGGCGCTAGCACAGGAGTTCATTTTTAGTTCTGTTTGATTTGTGTCTTCTAATTCTTTGCTGTTTTTAGTTTGAAGCTTCATTTAACTTAGAGTTCTGTAAACATCAGAAGCAGCATATCAGTTCTACCTGTGCTGATACTGTGCAAGGTAAGACTGTTAGCAGGCATAGCCATTGCTCCCTTTGAGTGAGAGAAAAGTTCTCCATGCAGGTTTCTACAGGTGAAGACAAAGGAGACACATGTGTAGAGAAGTTTTGCAAAGACCTTAAACAATTTATATCATTTATATTTGAACTCACTTAATGCATTACTAAATGTCTTCTCTACTACGTCTTTCATAGGCAGGAATGCTTGTTGGGAGATTCAACTTGCAAGAGTCCTGAATCTGATCCAGAGGACTTTTCTGATGAAACAAATGCGGAAAATCTTTATGGCACCTCTCCCCCCAGCACACCTCGACAGATGAAACGCATGTCAACCAAACACCAGAGGAATAATGTAGGAAGGCCAGCCAGTCGATCTAATTTGAAAGGTGAGTCTTGTAACTTTTAAAAATATATATGAAAGGACATGGCAATTTTGGTACATAATCTTTCTATAAGATGTAACTGTTGATCGATCCTTTCTGTAGTAAGGTTAGTAATTCTTTTTCTTTAAATTTGGCTTAATGCTGCTCTCTTTTTTGGGGTGTGTGGGGGTGGTATCAGGGTATGAGCTCAGAGCCTCACACTTGCTAGGCAGACACTGTACCACTTGAGCTTCTCCACCCAGCCCTTTTTTGTGTTGGGTATTTTTGAGATAGGGTCTCAAGAACTATTTGTCTGTGCTGCCTTCGAATTGCAGTCCTCCCTATCTCTGCTTCCCTAGTAGCAGAGATTACAGGTGTGAACCATGGATGCCCTTAATGCTGCTCTTTCCTTGGATTCCTTAGCCAGCTGTCTGCTAGTCTGCCATCTGCTGGTGACTCACTTTGCTGCCCTTAGTGGGCGGGGCTCTCTTGCTAAGCAGCCACCAGATGGCACCCCATACCTTGCTATCACAGACAGAACCTGTTTTCTGTGATTGTCTTTGTGTAGGATCCCACAGCACAGGCAGCACCCTGCTCATGCAAGCTGAGAACATGGCCCCTTTTCTTTCCTCTTTCTTCCTTCTACCAGGTGCTTTTCTCTGAGGTAGGTGAATTGAATTAGTCTAAGCTGCTACCTGCTTGTGCCCTATTCATGGCCTGGCACCTCAGGTCACTGAAACCTTAGGGTTTCTAGTTCTCTGTCCATTGTAGCAAACCACTTGCCCTAAATCACTGCTTTCTGGAACTCATCCACCCACCTTTTAGTGCACAGACCTGGATTTCATTTGTTATCTCACCTGAGAAATTTCAGCCTGCTGACCTCAAGTTCATTCCCATGTCTCAGTTTCCTGAGTCAGGCTCTTTCTTCTCTTTGGTCTGTTGCCTCTACATACAGATTTCTTCAGTACATTGATAGCTTATGGTTGTAGCTTGGTTTACTCTGCCTCCCCTTGGAGCTTGTCTTGAAGAAAGGAGACAAGAGAGGTGGTTTCATTGTACTTCTGCTCAGAACTTAGTGACAGAGAGTGGTGGATAAAAACACCAATATGGTTACCAGATTGCCTAGATTCTGGTCTGGCTGTCCTACCTTCTGGACCTGCAACCACAGTATCTCATTCTCTTTATTTGTAAAATAACCTGCCTTATTATAGTGCAGTGAGAGTTACATGTTAGCTGTTATTATTGTAAACCAGTGATTTTTCCTCTACTTATTACTCTTTTCCTTTTCATAAATCTTAAAGTGAAACTAAATAATCGCTTTTTTAATATATCCTATTGGTGGCCCCATTTTCAGGACACTGAGCTTTGGATGAAGTGATTGACACATGGCTACTTTTCCTGATCTGTCCTGCCTGACAATCATTTCTCCTGTGCCTCTTCCTAGCCCTTTCTTTTTGTCAATGAATGTGCTGCTGCTGTAGTTTTTGTTGTTGTTGTTAAGTCTTTCCTTTCTTCTGTCCTTTCCATTTTCCCTCCTCCCTTTTCTTTCCTCCACCTTCTCTCCTCTTTCTTTCCTCACTCCTTTTTTTTCCTTTCCTTTCTCTGTTCTCCCCCATTTCTCCTTCATTCTTTCCATCGAATCAGAATTTGAGTGACTCCAAAGGCATGTCCTATTTTAGATGATGAGTGAGACCTACTCCTGTCTCTGCAGGGGAGTGCATAGCTAGCAGGCAGCACACCCTAGTGTGGTAGACTGGGAGAGGCTACTGACCATGCATACTGGACGGGGTATTGAGAAGACCTGGGGTGGGAAGACTTGTGGAACAAGTGACATTTGTGCTGTGACCTCAAGACTGAGTCAGAGAGACCAAGATTTCAAACTAGCATGTGATTCATGAAATATATGGGTTCCTCAGTATTTTGAAGAGCTTTTTAGAATTAATTGGATTGGTCAGATTTATTTTAAACACTTGAACTGGTGCAATATTTCTCTCTCATTACATCAAGCAAAGGCTCTGTGAATCATACTGTTAACTTTAGAACTGCAGTCATAGTTGGACTCATCTTTTTGACAAATAGTCACTGATACTATTTGTATTGGTTTTTTTATCTATTACTATGTAACAAACCACCTTTTGACTCTATGGTATAAAAGTATAGACACTCATTGCTTAATTCTGCAGCTGAGTATTTAGGCAGGGCTCAGGTCATCTCTGCCCTGTGATGGCTGGAGCCTTAGCTGGAGCAGCTCATTTGACTGGAAATGTTGACTTGGTTAGAGCCCCAATCCAAGTCTTAACAGCCCTTCTCCATGTGGTGTCTAATGCATCTCAGATGTCCAAGATGGCTCCTTCACTCCTATGTCCACTTGGGCTGAGATGGCAAGAGTGGTTGAGGGCTGACAGGCTCTGTTTCTTTCCATGTGGTTCCTGGGGAGAGGGACATCTTCCATGGCAGCCTGCTCCCCTCAGAGTGAAAGCTTTAAGAGAGACCACAGTGGAGGTTCTGGGGTTTCCTGTGACTTTACCTTGCAGCCATGCAAGCATTGCTTTTTTTTTTTCTTCTTCATGGTACTGGGAATTTGACTGAGGGTTTCAAGGTTGCTATGTAGCACTCCACCACTTGAGCCACACCCTCAGTCCTTGTGCTTTTAGTTTGTTTTTCTAATAGGGTCCCTTACTTTTGCCAGGACTGGACTGGGGCCTTGGACCTTGATCCTTCTACCTCAGTCTTCAAAGTAGCATGTGCCACCACACTCACTTGTTTTAAGATAAGATCTTGCTAACTTTGGCCCGAGCTGGCCCTGAACAGTGATTCTCCTATTTCAGTCTTTCAAGTAGCTGGAATTACAGGCATGCTCCACCATGCCTGTCCCATGCTGTATCAATTTACTGCATTCTTTTAGTTGCACAGTACTAGCGATAGGACTAGTGTGAAATTCTCTGGAAATATGAGGCCAAATATAATTGCCATGAATAAATGAAATATGTATCTGTATACACTCAGATGTCTGTGTGTGTGTGTCTGTGTGTATACACTATACATATAGCTTCAGAAATGTCTCACTTGATGCAAAATATTTAGAGAAATGCAACCATGTACAAAATATAAAGAACAAAGGAGAGTTAAAGTAACCAAAACTTTGTTAGTTTGGATTGCAATGATAGGGACTGTAAATTCTGGAAACAACAGATCTTATTAGTGGATGTGTACATTGTTCTGAATAGAGTCCACTGTTTTCATCAGGTCCTCAAATGCAGTCTGTGACCCAGAAAAAGTTAAGAAGCCTTGACTTAGATGTATTTACCTCACACTTAGCAACGCGCTCTTCTCAAAACAGCTCATCCCATGAGGCGTTACACTTGAATGATAAAGATGTCGAATGAATGGCTAATTCAGAGCCAGTGCTCCAGCTGCAGTTCTCTTCCATGCTGGCTGAGCGCACAGACATTCTTTTAACTCTAGCCATAGATGTGGTTTTACAGAAAACTGACTTAAAAAGCCCATAGATGTCAACAAGTTTGCCCAATAAGTAATTTCGAGCCTTTTGTGCAGACAGGCACAAAAGTAGCTCTTGTGAGGCACCTATCTTCTCCATTACTATATGATGCTGACTGACACTTTGCTGCTGGGAGGGGTTCTTGTAGATGGAATAACATCCCTAACATTGTGATGTTGAATTAATGAAAGGAACGTTCAGGGTAGGTTTATTCAGAAGTTAGGGAGCCACTTGGAATAAAGGTGAGGCCATAGCAATAAGTACCAGAAGGCCCTGTTGAGAGCCAGAGCTAGAAACAATGCCCTGGGAGGAGGGGATAGCTTCTAGCCCAGGGAAAGTAGTAGGACCAGTCTTGCATCTAGCTGCAGTACTGTGTTCACAGATTCACTTTCTTGGAACCCAACACAGACAATCTGTGGAGGCTCCAAACTTCCATTCGCCCACCCATACTTGCTAAGAGTGCATATGATCTAGGGCTCCAGGGGGACCTGTAGCCAGTGAGCCAGAATCCCCAAACCCGGTGACAGAAGAGAGTACATGGCCTTTCCTCCTGGCATGTGTGCCCTTGAGCCTCAAGTGAGGATACTTAAGACAGCCAGTCCCACTACCAGTTGTACAGGGCTCCAAGTTGAGTGTCTTGTCCTGGCCCTCCTGAACTGGTGACCATGCCTGAGTGCTTTGTGGAGAGCTGGCCAGTGGGAACTTTGACTTAAAGTGTAAACTGTATGTCTTGACAGATTGACAGAGGGGGACAGACCCATGCATGAGCAGACAGATGCCCTCAGGGAAGACCAAGACCTTCTGTTGAATGCCCCTAAGTCAGCCCCTCCCACAGAATTCACCCTTTTGCTTAAAATGAGAGTTAGATGATCAGGGGCTTTCTTTTTTTTTTTTTTTTTTCATTTATTCACATGTGCATACATTGTTTGGGTCATTTTTCTACTAGGTCCAGACAGGTCCTGTTCTGCCCTTATCACTAATTTTGTTGAAGAAAAGACATATGCATAATAAGGAAGACAAAGCGTTCTTGCTAGTTGAGTTAAGGATAGCTATACAGAGCGATTCCTACTACTGCTTTCATGTACCCATGTGTTACAACCCATGTTTATTCAACTCTAACTCAGTAATCTTTACATTGGCTCCTGATCCCCTGCTCACGATAACCTCTGTCATTTTAAGGTTTCTGTGTTAGTTCCTCTGGAGTGGAGACATCAAACGCTTTCATGTTTTGGGTTTTCTACCTATTCCTATATCTCCTGTGTGTGCTGCATCCAGATCCAATCCAATTGTGCATTTGCTCTAGATCTTCTGATGTTGACTCGAGAATAATGTTCTCCAGTTCCATCCATTTACTTGCAAATGATAAGATTTCATTCTTCTTCACGGCTGAATAAAATTCCATTGTGTACAAGTACCACATTTTCTTGATCCATTCATCAATAGTGGGGCATCTTGATTGTTTCTATAACTTGGCTATTGTGACTAGTGCTGCAATAAACATGGGTGTGCAGGTGCCTTTGGAGTA